CGGCGGAGAAGAGGTGGGTGGAGGCGGAGAGGAGATGGTGGGTGGTGGAAGAGGGGAGATGTCTGGAGGAGGCGGAAAGGAGGTGGGCGGAGGCGGAAGGTGGGAGCCGGTGGCGGAGTCGAGGTGGGCACGTGGGAGGGCCCGTTGGACTTCAGTGCAGGGAAGGCGACGCCCTGCAACGGGCCCTATTTCCAACGGGCGCGCCGATCCGGGCCGCCCACAGTCCTACCGGCCCGACGATCTTAAGACTTTAAGATCGCACGACGATCCAGGCCATCCGGCAAAGCGGATGGTCTGGATCGCCGCGCGATCTTGAAGTCTTAAAAGTCTTGAGATCGCGCGGAAATCCGGACCTTCGGCCCGTAGACCGCGGGCGGCCCGGATCGGCCAAATCTCACGTACCAAATAGCGATTTCTATAAGTGTAGGGATGGAGAAAATAATGTTAGGAGAGTTCCACAAGTTTGGAATTTCCATCAGCTGAATGGTAGCAACATGAAACTGACAACGAAGGAGAGAATACTTCATACACTGCGCCATATGGTGAAGTTGCCTTCCTTTTCTTTCAACAACTTACAAAACCAGAAAATTCAGAAACCACCTGGCCCCTGAGGCTGCATGACACACTCATGTAGCTGTTGATGAATGGATCATCCCTTGAAAAACATTGAATCCTGATGGAATCAGATGGATACAAAAAAAAAGAAAAAAACAGAAAAACAAAAAAACAAAAGGGATAAATAGGTGGGCAGAAGACCTCAAGGAATAGACGCTATGCAGTTTGAGACATCCCAAACCTTTTCTTATTCCATGGGGAAAGAAAAAGCCATCATTTACTTGCATACAAACGACTGAAGCTTTGAAAACATATATGCAAATTTCCCTAAGCTTCACACCTTCAGATTGCGCACTTGATGCGGGCAACCAGCCGGAATAAAAACAGCTTCGCCGAAGTACTGCTCAAATGTCCAAGCCTCCACACCTGCAGGTTGTAACAGACTAATCAGCAAAGTGCTTCGGCACATGAAATCCATCAAACTAAGTGACATCTCAGAGGACCAGCAATGTGCCTCTCCACACAACACCCATCAAAAACTTGGAATGATAACCTCAACAGGGTTGAGACTGTCCACCTTACAGCACTGAGGAGTGATTTAGCTTACAGCACACAGTACAGAGTTACTACATGTGCTTCACAGATCCTGAGCAAATACATGCATTACTTGAAGTACTRCTAGATGACCTGTTGCAGCTGCAAGGAACCAAACAATGAGTTCACAAAATTTTCGAGATGCAAAAGCCCATAGAAGACCAAGCATGAGTTGAAAGCAGAATTACAAAATCCACGAGCACACCAACTAACAGCACACTGAACACTGAAGTCTCTTGACAAAACAAAGCCCACTTTTTCGCCTCAAATAATTTATACAACTAGCCCTACTATGACGTGTCTGCCTATACTACTCTCCCACACTACCTACACACACTAGTCTACTCTCTCTCTCTCTCTCTCTCTCTCTCTCTCTCTCTCTCTCTCTCTCTCTCTCTCTCTCTCTCTCTCTCTCGCCTATACTACTCTCCCACACTACCTACACACACTAGTCTACTCCCTCCCTCTCTCTCTCTCTCTCTCTCTCTCTCTCTCTCTCTCTCTCTCTCTCTCTCTCTCTCTCTCTCCATGATCCTCTTGCCAGATCATGCTGGAGAGTCTGACCACTTCGTGTGCTCCACGACCATCACCAGGTTAGTACCGCGAGTTTCCCTCATCCCTGACCTCCGCAACCCAATGCCACCCAACTCTCTACACAGTGTTTCCAGCTATGGCTCGTGCAGCCCTCGGTGGCTGCCTTATCTCCAGGGCGCTATCTGGCAAAGCGCACACCAACAGCGCTGCTGCATTGAGCCACTTCCCTGAATCAGCTGCTCTGCTCGGCCTCTTCTATTTTGTCCTTTCTCGAGACTGCGGTCTGGGTCCAGGCCTGAGTCCACGTCTCAGTCCAAGTAGCTAACTCCCAGGCTTGGCCTACAGGTTAGTTACAAGGGCGGGTGGGGTCCAGCCTCTGCCCAGATATGCCAGGCGACACCTTCCGTTCGGGCCGGGGTGATTTGTAATGGCTGCCCGGCCCTGACTGAAGGCATCGCCTGAAATATCTGGGCAGAGGCTGGACCCCACCCCTGTAACTAACATGTAGGGCCAGCCTGCGAGTTGGCTACTTGGACTGGGACCTGGACTGAGGCCTGGACCCAGACTGCAGTCTCGAGAGAGGACAAAAGAGAGGAGGCCGAGCAGAGCAGCAGATTCAGGCCTGAATTCCCACATGGGTTTGCTTGTAAATGAAAATACGCTGTGTGACAACGTCGTGTATCAGTCACTGCTCGATGCCAACCGCCGACCGATCCACAGCCGGCCCATCAGCGGACCGCTCACTGGATAGCAGGAACTTATCAGCTGAAAGAAAACGGACGGCGGGGCTGTTCTGTGCATGTGCCGAACACCTGGAAACAGCTACGAAAACAATGCTCCCGGGTGTTTGGGTTTTTGGAAGAGGGGAGGGGGGGGGTGGGGCGCATGGACAACTGATTAAGGGGAGTGGCTTCAGACAGGGCATGTGCGACAGAGATCTGAAAGAGCTTCATACTAGTTCATAGAGAGAAAACTTATCTTTGGGAAAACTGCAGTGGAGGAGGAGGCAAGGAGAACAAAAAACAAACTTGGGCCGTTGTGAGGGGGCGACGACCCCCCGACTGGTGCCTCCCAACCGGTAGACCAGTCGGCTGGTCAGGAGGCGACCAAATGGGAGCTGCCTACCGTTGGAGTTGCAACTCTCATATGTGAGGCATTTGCGGTGGTGGGCACTCACCTGTTAGAATTCAAATCACTCTTGAGTCTTGAGCGAAATCAACCCATATATAGATCTACTGACCATTGAGGTGGAAAAACCTCTCTCTCTCTCTCTCTCTCTCTCTCTCTCTCTCTCTCTCTGTGTCTTGTCCCCTCCCACCGCCAAAACCCCAAGCATCATTCCACGCCCAAGTCATTCTCTCCGAGAATTATGTTTCCGCAGGATGTTGTGCAATCTCTATGAAGAAACAAAAAAAGGAGATGACAATAAGGTGAGGGAAATGAGAAAAGATGAAGGCGATAGTGATGCAACAGGAAAACTCTGTCACTCTCTCTCGCTGTCCTCCCATACTCTCTCCCTCCCTCTCTTGCCAGGAACCTACCACTCCCTGGATGTCCACCTCTGCTCCCCCTCCCCCTCTCTTTCTCCCCCATTCACTGTCACCAACTCTGCCTCTCTTTCGTCAGGCACCTCCCACTCCCTTGCCATGCACCTCCCCCTCAACCTCTCTCTGGCCCTCTCCTTTCACCCTCCCTCCTGCCCACGTTTGACCATGAGTAGGTGGGAGAAGGTAGGTGCAGGAGGATGGGGTCAGCAGGAGGCTGGGGATGCGGCAGAGTTAGGGAGGTTGAGCATGGTGAGGAGACGTGGAGGGAGGTGGTGGCCTTGAGGAGGTTGGGGAAGGTGGTAGGCTTTGCCCCGCCCTTCCCTCTCTCTCTCTCTCTCACACACACACACACACACACACACACACACTTCCGCACGTGCGAGCACTATGGACCTCATGTTCCCACGCCGTGCAGCTCCCCTTACCTACTCTCTCTCACCAGGCACCTCCTACTCTTTCGCCACGTGCCTCCCTCGTCCCCTTTGTCTCCCACCCGCCTCCTCTGACCCGCCCATGTTCACATGGGTGTGACAGGTGGGTAGGGAGGTGGGGGAAGGTGGAGGCCCATCTATCCAACTTAGTAGACATATGTGCTATGTGAACGATTGGAAACACAGTCCAGCAGAGCATCAACATGTCCCATACACATGCCAAGATAACAAAGCAGATTTGGAGAGGAATGCACACCACACCAGACAGACATGCGCACAGCGGAAGTCCAGTACCCAAGAAGAATTGAATAGAATAAATTCCAAAGTTGCTCACTACTCTCCAGCTCAACCAGGACCACAAAAGAGACCGAGGGTCACTACCGAGCATAAGCCACCTTGAACAAACTCAGAACACAGCTTCATCAAGTCCCTGGACTCGTCCTCTTTCCACTCCACCTCCATAGCTGGCTATGGCGAACAGCACCCACCCTTACTACCCTACAGACCACCAGCGCCTCCTCGCAATGACCCCAGAAGTACCAGTGCTGCTCAGAACTCCCTCAGATGCTGCAGCGCTGTCCCAGAAACTCCTCAGGACCACCAGTGCCCGTACCAGGATGAAGAAGGAACCTCCAGCTTGAAGAAGAAAAATTGAAGTTAACTTTTTAGAAGCTATAGCTCAATAAAATATAAAAATATAGAAAAAATATTTTATATCACTTTAGCTATAATAGAGAGTATTTCATATTATTATTCTATTTATTTATTATTATTGCAAGGAAGATGAGCAATAACGAACTTCAGAAATCAAACAGCATCATACACATGAGACCAGATAGTCGTGACCTCGAACCAATAGCAGAATTGCATCACGAGTTTCACCAAATAAGAGCACACCAAAAGCTCTTCATTGACAATGCTGGAATAGTCTCATCATCATCAACGAAGAACCAATGTTGATATCCTATCTGGCGCTCGGCCCCGAGACTACGAATGGCAGATCCTATCTAGCCTAGACTACAATGCCGCTGACGACATCAACAGCTTCCCAAGTATGAGCAGATCTCGGCCAATGCCGCACGCCTCAAGCAGAAGGTATGTCTCTCGTACCACTCACAACTTGTTCCCCAACTCACAGATGCCACTTGCACCCAAGGACCACCATGGGCCCCATCCAGCATACAGCAGCGCAGCTCGGCTATGGCTGCCTGTTACTTCCAGCTCGCCCGTGAGCGCGTGAGCCTGGCCAGCGTTAGCGCAGCAGCGCTTGCGAGCATGCAGCCAGTGCCCGAATGTCCAATGCGTGGGCAGGCCCTTCCCTATATCGAAGTGGCCTGCTGCTGCGTGCTGTGCTGCAGTACTGGGCCCCGGCCCAGAAGCTTCCGGTAGGCCCAGGGAGGCTGAGCCTCAGTCCAAACGAATCAGACCCAGGCCACCGACAGTTACCAGTGCCCAACTGCCCACAGTCTGAGTTGAGTCCATGCTGTGTGGCCAGGGCCTGGGCGCGTTCAACCAACTGGCGCTGCGCAACTGCCTGAATTTTACCCCAGTTGCGAAGCAGTCCAAGATATCTTGTCGTCTGTCGAGCCTGCCCTCACTTAGGGCGGCCGACCTGTTGCAAATACGGGCCCGGTAGGGCTTATCGAGGCCTTGTGCCTCGCATTATTAATAAGGAATTGGATATTCGTAAATTTAAAGAATATCAATAGAACATTTTAGATCCGAGAGTTTCTATATAGATATAAAATTATAAATCTAGATCAATACTCTACCATTTGTTATTTCATTGTTATTTCATTTTCACTTTTACTTCTTTCATAACTTAAAAATTTATGAAAAAGCTCCCACGAAAAAGATATGGCAGTGCCTAACCCCCACATCACAGATATGCTGTTGCCAGGCTCAGCAGATAAAAAACCTGCTTCACTGCTGCCCGCAACCCTAGCAGCGGCTTCCCAGCAAAGTGCTGCTCCAGCAGCCTGCCGGCATCGACAAAAGCACTAAACAACTGCTCAGCAAAAGACCTCTAACCCTTTGGACCCATTCTACTTACAGTTCTACTCTAACCTACTGGACTGGACTCCCTAAAACGTAAAACCAACAAACAGTTATGGGTCTGTGTTTTCCAGCAACAACGGGAACAGTCTGAAGCAAAAGTAATAAATCAACTGCCCGTTGAGGCCTGAAACGAGGCTGAGGCCCAATAGTACCCTTCTGCAGTAGTTTAGAGGATTTACAGAAAAGTCCTTGTCGGTTTACGCCTGTTTCAATTACCGGATAGGACCTAGAACGCAGAAAATTTGCAAAATTGTCCTCCAGA